TGGTAGGGCCATGCCCCTCATGCTGGCAAAGTCGGCAGCCATGCAAAGAGCTGGGGGAGACTATGGATGTTCCATGGAAGCAATACCAACATGCTTAATAACCACATTACATAGTATGCTTCAAGTGGAAAGCATGTCAGAATAGAACCATGAGCTATTACATTGTCACCTAACTTTTAAACAACTGCTACTGGCTTATAAAACCAGGGAGATTAAAAATACTGTCCGTTAACTTTAGTCTACTGATGTAGATCTGAAGCTGAACTAACGTTTTATCATCAGAAAACAGATTTTTCAAACAAATTCCTAGAAGCCTACAAGCTCATAGAGGCCCATTGCCATTTTTGGACTGAAGAATAATCTGTGATAAGACACACTGGAAAAAGAAGAGAGTTTTTATTGCCACTGGTAAGAGTGTCAGGCACTTGTGTGAATTGGCCCTTTTACAAACCACGTTCACTTTATTTTATCCTGAGGGAGAGATTTATGGCTGGAGGAAGGAGGGAAGTGTCTATTGCTAAACAGCCTAAAGTAACGGGCTTCTATGCACAGTGGCGATGTGTAGGGGATATACAGGGGTGCATATGCACCCCTGACAGGCCGCGTTCTCCGTTTAGGTGATGGGCAGTGGGGGCAGGCAGAAGCACCAGAGCTCCCCTGTGCAAGCACCAGCTGGGGAGTGGGGGTGCCAGGTGAAGTGCTGCTGGCACTTCCCGGTCAGCATGATTGGCCACTGGGGACCTGCCCCACTCCCCCAGGCGCTTGGGGGGGGGGGGGGGGGGGGGGGGGCGGCGTGCCCCCCCCCCCCGACTCAAGTGGCACCAGTCGGCCATGTCTATGCATCAAGACCCACATCCCATGCTCTTCCAGACAGGGTGCAGGTATTGTACTAGCAAGAATGAAGGAAGTTCTCCTCAGTATCTTTTAGCAATATACAAATCTTAAGAGCTGATGCCTCTGACTTGCAAGAGACATTACACAAAACTGTACCATCTGTGCACCAAGGTCGCTTGGCAAAACCATCTTGGAGGATACAAACAAACAAAGGGGTTATTCATTCCTTGACACACACCTGCTTTCCAGAACTGTATCCACCACTTCTACCACTGAGACGCTCCTTTACCATAGATCGAGTAGCACTTAATGCAGCATCAACGATAGCTTCACTTGTCCTACCCCCTACAACACAGCAAAATAAAGAACCAGAGTACAAGAGAGAGTTAAATATGGTGCTTATTTAGTTTTATAAGCTGAGATATAGGGCCTCATTCTCCTGCAGATGCTTCAATGGGAAAAGGACTGGACCTTAATAGTGCTGTGTGTGATGGGATTCCACTAATTTAGATTAATGCTTTTCAAATGCACTTCCTCAAATACCAAAACGCAAGGAAATCCCATGCAAGGTACCAACTGCAATTACAGTTGCCACTACCAACACAACCCACAAATACCCTTTGTGCACTCTCCCTTAACCCTTAGTGTACACATAGAAAGAAACTGTTAAAATACTGCAAAAAAACTTGACCAGAAACTGACAGTTTCAAGGGCTATCAGAGGCATAAGGCTTTTCTCAGAAACAAGTTAAAAGGCTGTGCGCTAAGGCTTTTATCAGTCCCAAGGTTGATGGGAGTATACAGTACCTAATGTTTGAGTGTAGACATGAGCAATGCTAACCACCATCTTTAAAACACACAACATATGGGACTACACAAGATTTACCCTGGTAATCTTCCGCTTTGTTTTTGTTGGCTCCAAATATCTTGATAGTTGGGAATCCTTTAACAGCATATTGACCACCTAGCGACTGGTGCTTATCTGCATCCACTGCACCTACTTTCACCACACCCTGTTTAAATTAAAAAGAGCCACTGTAATGTAATGCAATGCATTTGAGAGATACTGATCAGACAGGAAGAACAAGTGAAAAAATTGTCAAGTACATGGAGGACCTGGTATCCCAACAGATAGAAAGGGCAGAAACCAATAAGGACATATTCCCTAAACAGCAGTACTACTAGATATTAAATTGATGGTCTGTGTGTAATCACTTGTTCACACTTACAGCAGCAGCTGCTGCTGAGTCAGTGCAAACTCCTCATTTAACTTTCTTTGTTAAAGTGCATAACTTAAAAACAGAAAAATCAAAGTCCAGGAGGTCACTGCTTTGCTACTTCTTCTATAAGTAAACAAATGCTAAAAATGGCAGAGCTATTTCCAGATATTCAGCCCGTGGATGGTTCTCAGAGCCAAAGACAGGTAAGAAGATATTGAGAGAAAGGTAGAAGAGGGGAAGGCATGTTGCTCAGCAAGGCAAAGGCAGTCGTGGAAATTCAACAGCCCAGGCACAACATGCATTTGCTTGCCCTTCTCTTCGATAGATTATCTTGAGGGGAAACAAGCAAAAAAACCCACAAAACAACTCCCAACTTGCTATTTGCCTGTCAATTAGGGCTGCGAGAGGCTTCGGACAGAACTTTGGATTCGGAGAAGCTTCGGATGCTTTGGGGTCCAAAGCAGCATGTCCAGGTTGAAGTGCTGACCTCGTTAGGCTTCCCGAAGTGGTTTGGAGCTTCCGAAGTGCCCCTCAAGCTGTGGACAAGCAGAACTCATGCCATGGGTGACAGCTGCAGGGATATGGCCCCTGCTGCGGCCACGAAGCCTGCCAGCTGGTCGAGGAGATTGGTGCAGGGTCGTTCTGAGGCCCTGCACCCTTAGCTGCTGACAGGCAAAACTCGTGCCATGGGTGCTTGTGGGACTGACTGTCTCCGTCTTGGGGCGTGGGAGACACTACTGCAAGCCTGGCCGCTAAGCTACTGTGTTACCAGTTACCAATCAATCAGTTTCATAGTAGTTTCATAGTTGGTAGGGTCGGAAGGGACCTGAGCAGATCAACAAGTCTGACCCCCTGCCACAGGCAGGAAAAAGTACTGGGGTCAAACGACCCCAGCAAGGTGTTTGTCTAACCTCCTCTTAAAGACCCTCAGGGTAGGAGCCAGCACCACTTTGCTTGGAAGTTGGTTCCAGATCCTAGCCGCCCTGACAGTGAAGTAACGCCTCCTGATGCCTAGTCTGAATCTACCCTCTGCCAGCTTGTGACCGTTATTTCTAGTCACTCCTGGTAGTGCTCGGGGGAACACGGACTCCCCCAAT